GCATTTACTAAGCGATCGTTGAGAAACAATCTGTAGAACTCGACGGGCCGGATAGGAGGACCGACATCCATGTCGTCAAGAGGAGAAATTGGAGGGGGCTCAAATATGAACGGAGACAGAGAATCAACACGGAAAGACCAATCAGGATCATCGGGGACGGCATTTTCTTTATCTTCACTGTCTCCGTCGTCAGACGCACTTTCATCATCACTGTCCAGCAATAAGGCGCCCAGGCGAGATGTCAGATCGTTACAGGTACCTGATATCGTAACTAAGCAGACTTCGTTCAAATATCCAGTTACGGGGAGGCCATTGCGGCTTACAGCCAAACACATTTAGAAAATTCGTTATCAGGCCAATAAGGCTTTGTTATTGGAAGACTCCGGGGTATGTGATGGGTCCCCATTTTCTCCAAGGTTACTCGCTCCCTTTGACTTGACCCTAAAAAACCTACTGTAACTGTACCGCAACTCACAACAACTTTTTCGCCTAGTTACAAAATTTAGTGCGGCACACAATAAATCAATGGAATCGGGAAATAAGCTCCTCACCGCCCTAATTTGGAGGGCTTCGAGTCATATTGACATTGGTGCAGGCTACGTACAGCAAACCCCCTTTACTAAATGAGACCCGCATAAAATAGCAAACGGAATAGGAAATCAACATGTGTTCCCAAGTATACAAAACAAGTGAAAAATGTCTACCTGTGCGAACCACGGCGGCATTTTCAGGAATAATCGTTGAAGCGTCTAATTCTTCATCGCTATCGAGCAAAAGAGCACTGAAACTCGTGTCGTCAATGTTCCCTCCTGAAAGCACCAAATTACTATCCATTTTAACCCCCTCTCTTCCTCCGCCCCCTCCCCTCCCCCAGCAATTTACACTACATTAAATATCTTTGTAACTGAATGGAATCGAACGCGCGACGCAATCCGAAAATAATGAAAAAGTTGTTTATTTGAAGCAATGAAAGTCTTACGCTTAAAAGAAATATTGAGCAGTGTAGTAGGACGGTCCGAAAGAGAAGTAGAAAAACTGCTCCCAAATGCAACAATGTAATGCCAAAAGTACTAGCATCAAGACTGAATAGATAGAAAAACGCTATCCACATACACACGATAAGGAAGGGACTTGAAGAATTAGACGTTTTGCATATCTATCATCTTCGGCAAATTTGAAAGACGATGGCGCTAACACTGGAAGGAGCACATATTCTTCAAATCGCGCTTCATTGCATGGACGACTTACAGTGCGCTTAAAGACTAGTGCGCATACAAGATTGATTATCAAGCATGAGTATCCTCCATTAACGCACTATCTTATTCGATATGTTTATAATCTTCTCCAAATTTCGCTGAAGGACCATCGAGATAATGAATCTACTACAATTGTCGTTTCTAACGATATTATCAGTCCCTACCCACGGTTTCTAGTCTATAACCACCAATGTCAGGACCACCCTACATAACACTTGTAAGTATAGACGCTCTAGTACCAATATGAACGACAAAACGAAATTGGCGATGCTCGCTTTCTAGCCCCTCTTATCAGCTATTATCAGTCGTTATCAGTTCCTATCACGTACCACTTGTGTCCCCATCCCACCCCCTATAACATATGTAAGAACCACTGCGCTATCGTTACTGTGACTCGAGCTATGAATTTCCGGACAAGAACGAGACGCACCAACAGACACACTCATGGCAATCTATACAACAGTTTGGATTGGTCATTCTCCCGAAGACCCTATATCTACCTAATGATCGCGATGACTCAATCAGCTTGTTTAATCTTATATCCTATCATCTGCTCTACGCTACTACGTTTAACATCTTAATCGCTATCTTTCCCGAATCATCCCAGTCTGCACAGATATGAAACGCGCTTAGTCAACGCACACTGATTAGTCTGAGACTAATGAGTACATTTCTTTATGCTCAATTGCAGAATGACCATTAGAGGAGGATTCGAGCAAAGATAAACTTTAAAACATGGGACTACACAAATTGTTTCTAACGTTCAACGCAAATGAAGCCACCATTGCCAGTTCGCGCACCGATAACAGGGTCATGTAGCAGTAAATCTGGCGGCCCGGCGAAAAATATAGAATAATCATCGAGTCCCGCCACATGTGGCTGATGTCGACTTTGCGATTGGAAGCGATGTGCACATTAAATCTGCAGGACGCATGGATCGGTCCACATTGTCGAGCCGGACGTGATATTTACGCCAGGACGTCCGTGTGTATTCCGATCGGTCGGCGCGGGTAAATCTCGTCGCTTCGCACTTTTGGAGCGATCCATCGCCTGCAATTGGGTCAAAATCGTGCGGCTAAACGCAGAGTCCGACATCGACCAGTATAATTCACATGAAAAATATTGTAAATACATAATAACAAAAACCCACCTATATGGCATGTGTCTGATCTGCTAGTTTTCAGTGGCTCCATCACGGAAAGCTCATAACTAAAAGTACCATGCTTTGATAACACTAAAAAAGAAAAAAGTGAATACTACTAGAACTCATGAGCATGGACCACCTCCGATCGTAACGATAGTGAGTCTTGCACAGCAGTATATACTATCGATTGTTTGATCCGATCAGATATGTTGAACGATGACAATCGATACATATCTAATGCTGTGCAATCCCAGCGCTGCATTAGATGCATATATATGCACCATAACTCTAGCATACCTTCGCAAGATCATAGAAGAAAAGATCTGAAGAAAGAAAAGCATCAGATATATGGAACGAGCAAAAAAAGGAGATGGATGACCCCTGGGACAATGTCAGCCACCGGTGGCTGACATTGCGCAATCGCCTCTGCCGGCGCTGGTCCGAACGGGCAGTCTTCGAAAATCCCGCCCGGTCGCGAGTGGGTTAAGGGATTACGAGTCAATCATCTCCTCACGGGCTCGAGAATTTATTGGCGAGTGAACGCTCGCGCATTACATCGTAAACAGCATGAAGAATTATACGTACATTCAAGGATGAGGCCACATAAATGGATCGCTTCCGTAGATAGGGCAGAGTTATTCACAAAAAATAAATGTTGCAGCTTTCGCGGCGCGAGAGTGCGCAGCAAGGGCGCTAGACCTTGCCCTCCATGAGTTCCTGCAGTTGCTCGCGAAGAAGCGGCCTATACTGCGATGTGCCTCCACCCTCTCGCTCGATATGCCCTTTCACAAATCTTACCTCTTCTGCCTCCAGTGTCAGTTCTGCCTCGCGAACGAGATGACTTAACCATTTTCAGCAGATCCCTCTGGTCCTTTACCCTTTCCTCTAGCGATGAACTTCAATTCTTCGCTTTCACTTCGGAGCCTTCCTCTTGTAATCGTGGAAGGTCTTTAAGCTAAGCTCCCTCTCACAGGAATTTGGAACGTTGTCGTATTCAGCTCGCTATCCAGAGTAGAGAGATGTTATTGCTAGGGCCAGCAATCCGGAATCCACAACTTTTCCGGCAAATATTTCCTACTGAGTCCACGAATCCGAACGGATGTGAAGCAGTCGGTGCGTCCTTGAGCTGGCCCAAGCAGTGCGCTCGCTTCAGCTACGGTTGCCTAACGAAAAATCTCGATTCAGGAGAAATCAAGGGATTGCTAAAGGGGTCCTGTAATAGATATGGAAAAATCCACTATTCAACAAGAAATGCAATGTCTTCGGCATCAAATTCCTAGACACATTAGCATTAAAGGTAGAATTTGCAAAGTTCCTCAATGGGGCCGTTTTCGACCTGCATACGGATTGAGCCGTTTTGAGATTTTTCAATAATGCTAATCTTCTAGTTTACAATGCTCTATTAACTTTTCAGGTATGACCAATCTGAAGAAACTGTTGACTCTGGAAAGTATAAAAACTTGCACCCATCAGAAATTTTCCTTCTCACAACCAGAACTGGTCAATTCTCATTAATTTTTAATATCTTCAGCACTGTTTTAAGAGCTCATCAAAAAACTTTCAAGTCTGATGGAAAACTCTTCCACTTCGAAGAAGGTTATAGTCATTAGAAATGTGTAGAAACACGAATTTCTATTTGTAGAATAAACTGTTGGTGATCTTTATTTGGCCTTTCCTACTTGTTAAATGGCTTTTATGGTGGAGCGAAACCTTAACGGCAGAGGGTCATCTTTTTTAGAAAAAGGTCTTTGGAGGAGGTTAAACATTTTCTTTCATACTCAGGCTTGTAAAATGATTCGTTTCATGGATTTCTGACTTCTGCCGCTGGGGCGGGGCGGGGGTCGTGTTTCGAAAGTCTCCTTTAAGCCTCGCTTGACCCTCCTCTGGACGTGGCTCCATACGATACCCACCTCTATTTGCACAATGGCCATTCCAAGCCTTATTTTTTACTAAACCTTTTAACAAAACCCCTCGAAAACGGCTCATGCCCTATAGCTCAACTCACCTACAAAAATCACAAATAGCCAGTACCACAGATACGACCTGCATTCTCGGTGAAGCGAGAACGGCACCCATCGAACTTGTCAATGGTTACTTGACTCTGTATAGAAGGAAGCAAAGAAGGGCGATCTCCCTTCATAGGAAAAACATGATAATTCATTGAAGTACATACCATCCTTGCTCCTATCGAACTTCGTCGAAAACTATGTCATTTTCAGGGACGGCTGTAAAAAACAAATTATGTGCATGCGAAAGTAATACAAAACAAATGAAAACTCGCTACAATTATATGCGTTTCATGCTAAAATAGAAAACTGAATAGACCTGTAATCACCAGAATGTCAAAGATCGCATGTTCAGAAAAGCAGTCAGCTTTTCACAACGATGTTTTTGAGAAGAAACAGATGCTTCTCCTGAATCATCATTTGCATCGCGTTGATAGCGATTATAGCATTTCTTTTAATACAAAATTATTGACTAAAATCAACGACTGTTTTGCATGGCGTAAGCTCGTGCTGAATCCTGAAACGTTGAAGACAACTCGAGGCGCATGCCCCTCTTATTTGAACGGCAGGAAGCGCAAACGCTCCGCACCTAAATCAATTATTTTTTCGCGCATGCACTAATTTTTGATTTTTTGCATTTACCCTATAACCATAAAATAACTAACGGCGCCGAATGCTTGAACATGCTTTGATTCATCAATTTCATTCATCGGTTCTTCATGTTTCGGGATTTTTATACTGTAGTTCTTTTCTTGTTTTCTCAAAATTCCCTCGAACATGTACAGAGATTAGAAGTCATCGGGTACTTATACGCTTGGCGATATATATGTTTTTATAACTGCGCTAATATGTAGTACTTCAGTGATAACCTTGAAGCACTCAGCTGGTGTTCCCGTTCACCGACTATAATGTTAACCGCGTCGTAAAGCGATCACGGCCTCCAGTGAGCCTGATCTTCAGTTCACTCCCACTATAGGACGTTCTCTAACATCATCATATATGCACGGGCGTAAGCATGAAAAGGTGTACTGTGCAATCCGTGGAGAACATGGGGTGTGACAAGAATAATGTGTGTTGTGCAAAGTGGTGTGCCTTACTCGTAACAAGTTTTGCGTCGGAGAAACATCGCGGCAACAAACAACTGGATGGATGAACACCCAAGAGCTACATAGTTCGCAAAGCTACACGGAAAACCCATGCTCCAAACTTCGCTTATTCCAGCACTCGCAAAAAAAATCGCCCGAGCTTTTCGTGGACATTCTTCACAGAAAGTTGCAGGTTCAGTCAAATAGTATATAGGAGAAGCGTTAGAAATAAGACGACAGAAGTCACCGATCAACTATAGGAATTAGATGAAGGTTGCAGCGAGTCTGATATTAATAAAATACGTGCACTATAAAGAAAAACGTGACAAGGTCTCAATCGGGTGAGAACTAAGGGGAGAATGGGGGGTGCAAGATAAGACACTTTGTCCATGTCGTCCTTAATCGGTTTTTCCGTCGCGAAGACTGCCGGCTGGATGGAAGTTTTGAAACAAAGCGATCGTAAAATAAATCGCTCCAAGTGAACGCAGGTCCTCATTCACCGCCTTCACGGTCTTCAGAATGTGACCTGGAGCATCGATCAACAAAACGCACCGAATATCAATATAGTACGTGCACTATAGAGGGAATGGTGAGCAAGTCTCAGTCGATTATTGTTCTGGCACGTATACGGGGTGGCCGAAAAGTATAGGAACGTGTGCGTTGATTCGCTTGCTGGCTACGGAGCGAGTGGTGACGTATTCCACGAGGGTTTTGAAAACGTTCGAAGTTTGCGATGTTGATGTTTGTGATGTTGTTAATTTGTGATGGGGTAACATCCAAAAGTGCAGCTCCATTGGAGTTCACCTTCCACAAATGGTAAAACTTATTCGAAGCTCTTGTAAAAGACTTGTATAAGAGACCTTATGGTTGTTCTGATTTTATCGGACCATTTTGCTCGGCATGACCCTTACCTCTTCAGATAGGCAGGGGCTCCTAATACACGTTCAAACCGACCAAAGCCATCCTGGGCGCTCACTTCCAGGGCAAATGGAGCGAGGATTGCCTCCTCTCTCAGATCACTTACCCGCTGCACTCCTCTATGTGAGGATGTTGTAGAGCAAGACCTCGTAAGACTTCTCCAGCTCGGTGGGTGCTCTGAAGTTAGCGCTTCAGAAGAGGTGGGACGACATCGCCGTTGGCTACCTGCGGCGCACTGCTGATTTTGTCGTTGGACGTCAGAAGTCTCCCTCAAAGTAGCAGGCGTTAAATTCGGACACCTTACTGCACAGTGATCAAATAGCTTAAAAAAACCCATCTGGAGGGTCGCGCTTTACTGGCCATCTCAATTCTTGCTTTTACAAACAAAAACATGCCCCTATACTTTTTGGCCGCCATGATATAAGTAGTATACTAGGTTAATAAGAAGTCTCCTTCTATCGAAAATTTTGCAGTAGCACTTTATGCCAACAAGCTATTAGTAGTATTCTCGAAAGGTTTCATCCACAGTGTGTGCAGGCGTGCTGTTGCAATCCAGTGATTATCCAAGAAAAATTCTCAAAAAAAACTCTCGACTACTAGTCAATCTGTACTCCGAGTTGTTGTCCAGGAAGAAAAGTCTTCATAACTGTGGATTCATGTCAAAGACCAACACTATCCGCAATAGCTTCAACGGGAATGTCACTCATCGCTGCAAAGTGCTCAACGTGTACCTTCGCTTTTGACTTTTTGTATCATAGGCCAGCAGCGCCTTGCACTCTTCATTACAGGTAGGCTGTCACAGGAGCTCGGCTACAAATTTCTCGTCAAGGGCACCATTGTAGATAGAGGCCTGTGCTGTTGAAGTTCAGAAGTTGAGGCAGCTAGTCAAGGCCACTGGTACTGCGGTAATGTTTACTTCCTGCATGACCCTACAAATCACTATGTTCCGAAATGAACCCGTTCTTAATTCTGGAGCAAGTCTTACCTAATCTATCACATTCCCCTTGCTGAGCTCTAAATGGGAATACCCTGTTTCGCACCTTTAATCATCATCTTTATGACGAAAAATTAGACGATCAAATTCGATTCATAAGAATGGGGAACATTTTTTGACCCGCACACACACAATTTTCGAAGTTGGAGACTAGTGGTGGACATTATGGTAGATGTACAAGTTATCAGGGGATTTCTAGACAAAAAAGTAAAATTTGAATCAAAAAGAAGGAAGAGTGTTGCAGAACTTTCTTTCCAGCCTAATATATGCATAGAACGCTTGCTTACCATTCTTGCCAATGTTCACAG